GGTGGTTTTGGGGATGGGGAGGAGGGGAGGGGTGACCACACCATAGAGGAGCTTTTCTGCTCCCATCACGATGTTTTCTGACAAGCAGCAAACTAAACAAATAAACCAAAGCCTAATTCAGGATCTCAATTACCATCTGTTGGATTTCCTGACTGCAGCGCCGTCTCTGCATTTTCCAAGTTCAGCACAGAAACCCAGGCAGGAGAAGCAAAGCCACTGCTGGCTCCTGGCAGAGAGGATGAACTTGCCTCGAACTCCTCATGCTGATATTTATGAGATGTTAAATCTTCATTTAAAAATGTTCCCTTAAGCTGGGTGACATGGCAATGAGTACGACCCATCACTAGCTCGGAGTCTCTGTTGCATAATAAGATTTAAGGTTTATGACCTACAAACAATTGCTTGGTGGCTCAGGACAGGCTGTGAGGAGCTGCCTCACACACACACAGAATTATTTGGATTCCCAAATGGAGTGATTTGCGTGTGGCACATCTGGTCTACGACCGCCAACGAATGAGTCTATGGGCTAATATGGACGAGTAACAGGCTGATGGAGAAACCATGATTGTAAAATGATTTGAAAAATATCTTAAGTTCTTTTGGATACAAAATAAAAAAATAAGAGAATACGGTTATAGCCAGTGTTTCAATTCCTAGGGGGGGGGTTAATTTGAAAAAAAAAAAAAAAAAAGTCAGGTCAGTTTTACTATCAGCAGAACAGCATGTGCGGGTTCTTGTACGGGGGGTGTAGGTTGCCTACAGCCGGCTTCAATTGAAACTTGCAGATAATGGGATTTAACAAATAGGGCTCTATGGATCCAAGCCATCAGCAGCTCTCTGCTGGGTCATCCCTACGCTTTCAATCAGACCAAGGCTCTGCTTTTATCTGCCACGCTCGTTCGCGTTGATGGTGCCTGTAATATCAACTCGACAATGCATGTTCTACAACTACATCTACTGCTACCAGTACGACTACTACAGTGCATGCATTTAGTTCAGTCCCACAGATACATACACTCTAAGAACAGGCAAGGGGAGATGTGAAATGTTTTACGGGACGACAGGTGTTTCGTTTTTTAAGTAAGGGAAATTAATAAAAAACATCAAAAGAAAGAAAGTGTACAAAAAAATAGAGACATTTCTCAAGAGTTGATATGAGTCGTTTCTTGAACCGTTTCGTCCGAACAAGCAAAAAACATGCAACCAGCTGCTACTAACAAGAAGCTGGACACTGAGAGAGGATTAATAGGTGTGGACAAACCTTCCCGCTGAGAGCGCTCAGAAGAGTGTTTGAGAGGAGGTGTGCACGTCCGAGTGTAAGAGAGGCCGGAAAGTTTGCCTCAGAGACACCCTCTCTCACAGCAGCCCCAACCAAGCAAGAGAGAAAACAACAAAACATAACTGCTCACACTCACCATCAAGGTCAGTAGCTCACGTTACGAGATTTGTTATAGCTGGCAAGTATAAAGTCCAGTAAGGGGTTGTTGGGGCGCAGGGCTCAAAGGCAGCACTGGCAAGCCGGGACTGGGGCCCAAAAATCCAGATGTGCCAGGGGTTGGGGTGGGGAGCAGCCCCTGGAGCCGCGGCACCGCGCTGTCCCAGCGCGCCCAGCCGGGCAAAGCCTGCCCCAGGGAGCTGGGACAGGGCTGGATTAGTGTGGCCTGAGGGGGTTTTATCTCCAGTCCTCAGGGAGGAATGGTTGGTAGCAACAGGTTGGGGAACTGGAAAAAAACCTCAGGCTTGTCATTGAACCAAAGAGGAAGGAACGAGAACCCTCTCCTGCCAAATTTTCCTCGTCTCGCTCTCCTGCCGGATGAACCCCTCCCATGTCAAATGCAAGAGAAAAATGTGCCCCCCCATGACTGTATTTTAAAAAAAGCATTTACACGACAAAAATGTTTTACACGTAAAATATGTCAGGTGGATTCAAAAGAAACGTGACACTGATAGTGAAGTTGTCTAGGAGGAGTTTGCAGCAGTCAGACTTTTAACTTTGCTCGTTTTCCGTGGCTCAGGTCCCAATTCATTAAAAAAAACACAAGAATGGGTGAGGTTGTCAAAACCAGTGGAGGGATTGGGCAGCGCAGCCCCACCCGGAGCGAATGGATGTGGCCAGACCTGTGTGTGCTGGAAGGACCTCAGCTATGACCTCAGCACGAGGGGGGATGTGATTTGTGACGAGCAGCGCGGCCGCGCTCGCCCTTCCGGCGCAGGACGGGAATTTATGGTGGCACTGAGCACGGGGACAGGGACACACGGCCCTGGCTGTAGGACAGACCTGCTGTCACACAGAAGAACCTGTTTATCTAGCAAGGTCAGCTGGTGACATGCTGCCATGGGAAAAGAAGGGGTGAGGGCAGGGAGGAGGCCCCGAGCAGGTACCTGCCCCCAGCAGGCTCCCTGCTGACTCAGCAAACATGCAGGCGGTCCCAAGAGGAGGAATGTCACCCCAGGGACAAACCAAGGTGGTCAGTGCCCAGGGGCTTGGAGTGAGAGGGCTGCAGCTTCCTGGGGAGACCAAGACACACGAGGTGGATGCTCTCTGTGGGTGCTCAGCCTCTGTGCTGGCACTGGTGCCAGGAAGGTGGGTAAGAGTTGGCAGGGCGGGGTTGGAGAGCTGCTGAAGAGGCAGCAATGATGGGGACATTGATGACATGGATTGTCATCAATGCTTTCCAGGAACCCCCTTGCCCTGTGCTGGGCTCTGTGCAGAGCTCTCCCAGTGAGCTGGGGGTGGTGGGGTGTGCCTGCCCGGGTGTTTTCCAGCTCTTTCCCATTTCCTGGCAGAAAGGGGCCAGTTAGGGCCAGCCATGCTGTGCTCTGTGCTTTGGACCAGGCACACGTGAAGGAGGGCTGTGCAAATTTGTGAAGGACAAACAAAAACCCAACTGAAAAGGAAAGAAGGAAAAAAAAATAAATAAATAAACAAACCCCAGCCATTTTTCTTGTAATGAATCGGGCCCGTACACTGCAGCGCAAGATCGATCGGACTCCACTGCTCCTGGATACAATTCACTACCATTGCTGATGGAGTGGCAAACCCAGGATGTCCCTTCCAAAACCAGCTTGGGATGGAGATGACTCTACAGAACCCCCACCCCGTTCCCAGACCACGGCTTGGTGCAGATGTGAGCGGGGCCAGTGACAAACCCACCTTCCTCCTTGAGACCTCGGGGCTGGGGGCGGGACAGGGGCTCTTTGGGTTCAGTTTTGGGGGTTTTTGCCAGTTTTGTGCACGCAGGTAAATTTTGAGGCTTTGAAAAAAAAGACATTTCCAAACACCATACTGCTCTTTAAACTTGCCAGAAAGGGTGTTGTTAATTTAGGGTTAGATTTAGTTTCGTATTGCAAGTTCAAATCAAAAAAACAAAAGAACCGAAAAAACAAATCAGAAAACCCAACAAAAAGAGAAACCAAAAAACACTCAAATTAAAGACAAATGATTTTCAGGCACAGAATTGATCAATGCTCAGTTCAGTTGTAACGGGCACCAAAAGCACTCCGATTAAAAAAAAAAAAAATAATAATCAGGGAAGCAACGTTAATCCAGCCAAACCCTCTGTGCCTTGCTAAGGGGCAACTCACCAGGTCTGTTTGCACGTAAAACAAAACCTGAAGGGCAAAACATGAGGAAGAGGCAGAAACAATGAGGTCTGTTTTCCTGGAAGCATATGCAAAAGCAATCTTGGGTTTTGTTTAGGTTTGGGGTTTTTGTTTGGGTTTTGTTTGTTTTTTTTTTTTTTCCCTCTTTGGGTTTGTTTCTCCCCCTCCGTGCTGGGGCAGTAGGAGAAGCTGGGAGTTGGGGGATCCCCACAACCAGGCTGGCAAGTCACCCCTTAGGCTCTCTACATGCCACAGGATGGAACTGGTACAGAGAGTCCTTTGTAGCCTGCAAGCAGTGCCAGTTTGCATGGAACGGAGTTCTCCTGGTGTCTTTCTTTGGCCTCCAGGGCATCAGAGACACACGTGGCCCTGCGCCCACCTCCTCCTGCCTGACACAACCGGGGCTTTTCGGAAGAGCCTCGCGAGCCCCACGGGCACTGCCCGAAAAGCCCCGAGAGCCCCCAGCTCAGCCACGAGTGGGCTGGGAGGTGCTGCCAGCCCCGTGTCCCCCCCCCTCCAGGACACGCTGGGACAGGGGACACGGGGCTGGCAGCAGCTCCAGCCCAGCCTGCTCTGGGAGCCCAGGGCTCGCTGAGGGCTGCTCTGAACTCTTGTCACCTGAGCAAAGCGCTGATTCACCTGCTTAGCAAAAATTTAAACCTTAAGGCAGTAACGGCAATTGGCAACGACTGATTTCTTTATTTCCCTTAAGGGGAAAGAAAAAAAAAAACAAAGAAAAAGAAAAAGTAAGAGGTTTTCAGAAGGACAGAAGAAAAGCTTTGTCGTTGCTCATGGAAGCAGTGGGGTTGGAGCAGGCAGGGATGGTGAAGTGGCAGCCGTGTGCTGGTGCTGATGGCATCCCAGGGGACACAGCCCCTCGCCATGGGGATGCCCCGTGCTGGCCATGGTGGAGGAGGTGACAGCAGCCCCAGGCACGGCGGGAGCACCCAGAGCTGCAGCCACCACCTCAACCCAACCCCAGCTTCCTCTGAGAAACCAAAACTTTTTTTCTGAAAACACAAATTAATCTTTCTTGGGGTGTCTTTTAGAGCCTCGAATTTAAACCAAACAAATGAAGAAAGCAATGCAATAAAGGAATAAAGAAAGAAACAAATTGGAATATCTACCCTGGTTTTGGCAGTTCTCATGCCAATCTCCTGCAGGTGCTCCAGCCCCCGTGGCCTCTGCTTGTAGTTTGGGTTTGGGTTGGGATTGATTACTTATATTTTTCTCTAAATTTTTTTTTTTTTTTTTTTGATTGATTGTTTTCAGGTCCCCAGGATAAGTGTGAGGAAAAAATCAGAGAAATGATGGAGAGCTGCAGCCACACAGAATACCGACAGAGCTTTTACCTGACCCTGCACTCTGAGGGTTTGCTCTTCCACGGGCCCCCCTACCTGATCCTCTTGCTGCTGCCACGGCTGCCGCTGCTACTGGTCCATAAGCCGCTGCTGGAAAACCTGGCCGTGGAGAAAAGGACAAGGGTAAAGACAGAAGCCAGAGGGTTCCACGAGTCCCTGCAGGGCATCCAGAGCCACCAGTGCTTGGGAAGAGCCGAGCCCTGGCCGGGTGCCCGCTGCCAGCGGTGGCACAAATGCCCTTGGCACGGGAGGAATGGGGCTCCTGGCCACGGCACGCTGCGGAGCCAAGCAGGACAGGCTGGAGGCAGAGCCTGCAGCACTCGGCTCCTGCCTCCAACACACAACAACGGGGTCAGCCCGCTCTGAAAACAACCAGGGAATTCTCTCCCGGCTTTATTTGCAAGTGATAATAACGTGCTGCCCTATAGACAAAGCAGTAATGGAAAATATGAGGAGGTCCTCGTGTCGAGATCACAAATTTGGTGGGATCAAGCAGAAAAAATTCAATGGAATGTGGTTTAAAAAAGAAAGGAAGGAAGGAAAAAGCTCTTGAAAGCAAACCAGCCGCAGATCAAGGAGCTCTGTGACATCCCCCCTGCTCCAGGGATCCAAGCCCTCACAGAAAATGGAATGCTGCCAGCAAGATTGCAGATTTACTTAATTAATATTCAAAAGATCTGCCAGAGACTCTGACTTTCAATATATGTATTTTAAGAGGGCAATGGCAAAGTCCAGGCCATCAGCAAGAACCCCAAACCCCAAGTCAATGACTCCAGGGAGGTTCCTGGTCTCTGGCAGCTCCAACTGCTCCTGCCAGCCCACAGGACAGGCCCGGGGTGGCCACCACGATGGAACCTGGTCCTTGAGTGGGCACCAGGACCACGATCACAGCTGCTTTGCAAGGCTGAGGAACAACAGGAGAACAACTGAGGCACTTGAGAAAGAGAAGAGTGAGAGAGAGAGCCCAGCACACTACACCCACTACCTTCAGCACTATGGCTCAGTTACAGCTCAGCTACCAGGGCAAGGAGCAGAGAACTAGGCTAGAATAATCTGAAGCTACTTAAAACATCAATCAAAAAAAGACATACTTGCATTTAAATATGGTAATAGGGCTGTTAGGGGAAAAAAAAAAAAATAGCACAGGTAAATGTATGCAGAGGATCCCCAGGCTGGGGCTCCCTGTGCACAGAGAGCAGCACTGCACAGCCAGCCCTGGTGGTAACTGCTGGAGCTCTGTGCAGGGGGATGTGGGGGAAAGCACATCCACACTGCGGGGGGACCCCATAACCAGTGCTGAACCTGAGTGTTCAATTCCCTCTCACTGGTGATGGAGCCATCAACCCTCGGTGGGTCCCCTGACACCCATGGTTAGGGCTGGAGTGAGAAGACTTTGGTGCTCAGAGTAAAACCAAGCTCCAAAGAGTGACCTGCAGGACCAGGGCTGAGGCTCTGGGGCTTCATTTTCATGCAGAGCCAGAGCTGGGCTGAGCTCCGAGCCCTCCCACTGCGGCTCAGGCAGGAGCAGAGCTGGCACTGTCCCCTGTCCCTCCCTGCCTGCTCCAAGAGCAGTGACCTCAGCGTTCCCATGGCACCTCCAGGACTAGCTGGCCACCCGCAGATCTCTCATTTGGAGGCTCCAGGGGCTCCCTAAAGCACCCATGTGGGATCGGAGGAGCTGTGGGTTTTCCATGGAATAAAACGCCTCTGCCAAAACCAATCAAATCCCCTTCAAATCACCAAGCATCCCCCGAGAACAGCACAAAAAAAACAGGGCTGCAAAGTTTGTTTCTCTTGTTCAGCTGCCAGGGACGCTCAGGGTCTATTTGAAATGCAAGACAAAAAGTTTTGCCACGCAAAAGAAGAGTGAAATAACAAGGGTGGAGAAGGCGCTCCACGGAAAGAGCCCGAACAAAGGCTCCGTTATTGCATTCCAGGGGACAGATGTGTGAAAAATTAATCCCTCCACCCCTGAAGAAAGCTTTTATCCCAGTTCTGAGATAAAAGCATCCCTGTGCCATGGCACTCCAAGCAGCTCAAGTGTGATCCGTGCAGGAACGCTGCAGGCGGAGCAGCCTCGGCTCCGGGAGCCGGGATGGAAACTGGGATTGATTCTCAACATTGGCAGAACCTCCTCACTGATCCACTCACAGGACGGCTCCAGCACTGCAGGATCCCCGAATCAACCCCACCTACTGAAAGCCATCGAGCCCCTGCTAAAATGCCCTTTGCCAGGTGCCACATCCACGGGCTGGAGCAGCTTCCCTGTCACTGTGTCACCTGCCAGCACTGGGCCACGCTGTGTGTGTCACCTGCCAGTGTCACCTGTGTGTGTCACCTGTCACTGTGCTGCCCCTGGGGCTCTTTGCTCCTGACCCCTCAGCAGGGATGGGCGGCTGCCACCACCCTGCTCTGCCCGATGGAGATCCCAGTGTGGGGCGCTGGGAATGCCTCCCAGAGCTGCAGCAGGGCACAAGGAGAACTTGTAGGCAGCAGAGTGTGAGAACAGTGGCCCAGTGCCTCAGCTTTCCCTCAGCAATGCCTGGGAAGGGCAGGCATCTCCAGGAGCCAGCAATGGCACCGGGGACTGCAGGACCACGGAGAGCTGTGGGGTGTCAGCAGCCCTTTGTCTCCTCTATCAGCCTCCCAGGTCATTTTTAACAAGCAGCTTGGATGTTACTGGGTGCCAGGACAGGAATGTCCTGATGTCAAGGGAAGCATTGATGGCAGCACCTCTGGATCCCACCCTGCACCATCAGGAGCATGGCCAGCACCAGCCCCACTCCCTCTGAGCCCTCTGAAGTCACCTGGAAAATCAGAAGGGTGGAGGGAGAGATCAATTCATTCCTGGTGTTTGTTGAAGGCACTGATTCCTGCTCAAATGACCCCTGTGCTTTGTGTGCCCACTGCTCCCAGCTGCCCAGAGGAAACAAAGCCCAGAGCCACTGCAAAGCCAGCAGTGCCCACTTCAGGCACTGCAATTAGAAGGCATTTTACAATAAACGTTTTGCACTGGGCTCACACACTGTCCAGGAAAGCCCTGAGGATTCACAGCAATTTCATGCTCTCTCATAGCTCAGAATGAGCCAAAACCAGCGTTCCAAGTGCAATTTTTCACAGATAAATTTCCCTGCTTCCTGCATCAATAGTTTCACTTTAAACAGTGAAGCAGCGAGGGAAGATGGACAGATCTGGGTTAAATTCTTTGCCCTGAGGTCCCAGATTCAGCCCTTGGCTGTTGTGTCTCCAAGGCTCAGGTGAGTTTGGGACAAGGGGGATCACAGGATGGCACATGGAGCAGTAGGTTTGGGCTGGAGCACACAGCCCCACTGTCTGGCTCTGGGAGCCCAGGACTGAGCAGATTTTCCAGGGGTTTGTGAACAAATCTGGTGAGCACGACTCTGCCTGAGCAGGGCCAGTCTTCACATGGGCTTTAGGGGCACACCAGATCTCTGTCCCACTCCACCTCCTGCTCTGGTGGGACCATTCCTTCTTGAATCACTGAGTTCTCCTGCCCTCCAGGGCTTGGCTACAAGGCAACCACAAGGGAATAACCCAGGAACCACCTGCATCCCTTCCTGCAGCTCTGGCTCTAAGAGAAATCACCTTCAGCCTTGTTCTGATCAGCCTTTGAAGACCCCAGACTCAAAGCACACACAGCCCCATCCTCTACAGCCAATCACACAACAGGAATCAACCCCCAAAAAGACCACAAAATTAATTCTTACATCCAAAAATACCATGCAAAGAATTTCGTCTGCTTTAATGGCCAAAGCACTTGGGCACCTGAGGTCACACGTTCAGACTTCAGCAATGAGCACAGGGATTTAAAACAAGCAAATGGAAGCTGAGATGCTCAAATCACCACCTGACTTGAGAAAACAGCCAAAACCATGGCACAGGCATGGAGAATTAAATAAAAGCCATCATGAAACTGCACCTAAGAAGCAACTCCCTTGCTCTGTGCTCAGGGGGTGTTTGGAGTGCTCACACACAAGCAGTGCACTGCTCTGGGGGTGCCAGTGCTGAGAGGGCACCAGAGGCTCCTTCACCCCAAAACACTTCACTCCTTACACCCCTGGTGCCCCCCAGCACGCTGCCCTGAGCCCAGCCCTTCAGGAGGGGCACCTGAGCTCTCAGGAAGGGAGTGCAAAGGCTGGAATATGAATTCATGTGCAGGCTGGGGGACGGGAGCAGC